ATGCTCTCGTCGATACTGGAGCCTACAATTCCGTCGTCAGTGGGTCTTTTGCAACCAAGTCGAAGAAAGTGAGGACTGCAAGATAAGGCCCCGAAATTCGGACCGCTGGAGGTCACCTAATAACGCCGACTGGAGTCTTAAAATACTACCTTTGGAGTCCATAAAATTTGAGCTGCCAAACTTTGATTGTAAGTTCCTAATTTCAGCTATGTATCGCATTTGTAATATGTTATGCGTTTACGAACACTACCCAAGCTGTTAACGCCTTCTTGTCCTCGTTCAATAGGCGCGCGAAAGAGGGTGAAGTGGAATGAGGGGGGGGGGGGAGTGAAAAAGGAAGTTAGAATAAAATGGCGGATGACACCCATCTATCGTAGTTTGTTTAATGCCCAAGTGCCTAGTCGGAGCGCTACACTATAGTAAGGTTTTTATTATTTTTGAATATATATACATAACAAGAGTTTGGCCATGCCACCCATTTCCGATTTTGCAGGGCCTTGCACATGGCACTCTGTATGGGTAACCAGTTGAAGAGAACCGGTCTTCAGCTGGCAACCAGTTGAAATGAACTGGTTTCCACCACGTCATCCAGTTGAACACATATGGCGATTCAGCATAGCACTTCCATAAGACATCATTTTTTCCATGTCTCTTTACAAGTAGAATGTTTCAAATGAAGGGTCTAATTCAATTGAAAATTATTTCAAAAACAACTGCACACATCGAATTAGACCAGGCAGCATCCCCATAGGGAGGCCAATAAATATACACTAGCTGTTCTACTGGTTTACCAATTGGGGTGTGTGCAAGAAAGTGGACTGACAAACATTAGGATACCAAATGGAAACCGTTGGGCCTATTGGTATGAGCAATTGAAGCGGAGTTGTCCAATTGCTCCTCCGCATTGAAGCAACACATCCCATTTCGTATCAATTCTTTACATTGAGAACCAGTTGCTAGTAACTGGTATGACCAATTGAGACCATTCACTTTATTTACTGGGAGGGAACTCGAGTAGAGGTATCGAGGTGAAAAGTTGGAAAGAAAGATAAGATTGTGATTGCCTATGCAACAATCGACGCTTGATTGCGATGGAAGCGCTTTCGTGCTCTATGTGATTGTCATGTCGGAATTAGTAAGCTCCTATAGTTACTTGCAACGGTTCATATCTCAGACCACGTAAAGTTCACTTGTTCTAGACATAAGAAAACGCATGCAAGGTCGATGCATTTCAGCATGCTTTTTTTTTCTAAAATAATGAGAGAGAGTGGAACCAGTTGACTTCAAACAATGTCTCCAATATTTCAAATAATTTTTTTCGTTATAACGACCATGTTTTTGTTTTATATTCGAAGCAGCTCTTCGACTGGCATGTGTAACACTGCCTGTCCGCGTCTCTGTGCCAACTTGCTGCACCACGTCCCCCCCCCCCCCCCCAGCTGTTGGAATGATGCCAAATAAGTCAAGGAGCAGCTGTGCGATGACGTCACTCTCCCAACCGGCTCCTCTCAACCCACCTAGGCGCTGTTGCTCCTCCGCCCACTCTCAACACACTTCTCTCTCACTTCACCATCTCCTACTCCCACAACGCTCGACCGCACGTCGAGTGGAAACACTCTTTCGGCACGTTTATCGTCCATGAAACTTACTCGAAACGCAACCCACCTCTCGTGTCTTAGCGTTTTGATGAAACGCTTACTCGAGTAAAGGCTACACGCAATTTCACTTCAAATCATTCTTCCAGCACCCGCGTCGACGCCCTTTTCAGTCGGGTCAACGGCGTGCGCACTACTGCTGCTTCACAACCCATCATGGTTCTCCAATGAGAAATCATCTATAGTTTTTCTTTTTCTATTTAAATTTTATTTTGATCGCTATAGCAAGGTAATGGACACTGTCGGCTATATTTTGCTGCCGGCGTCGGCGTGGGCGTCGCCATCACTCACCGTATATATATATATATATATATATATATATATATATATATATATATATATATATATATATATATATATATATATATATATATATATATACGTATCTATATGTATGTATATGCAAGAAAAAAATTCACAAAAAATATGACGTGCGTAATCGCACTTGGGACCTCTGAAACGTAAGTGCGAGGCGTTAACCACTGAGCCATGGAAGAGCACGTCCCTCAACGTTGAAACGGCAAGCTTTTTATATCTACCACTTACGGCTGGTGATGGGCATCTCGGGGGCAGAGGACTATCATGTTTTCAGCATTACCAGCAAGATGGCGAAATAAACGCGCATCGCCATCGTCACGATGGGGCGTGCGCACTCTCATCTCCCATGCGTACTCGCGCATTCTTATCTCGCAGTGGGGAGGATCGTATGTCAGGACTGGCTTTTGGCTTTCACCGGAACGGTTATGTTGCAGTTATCGGGTGCACAAAGGTCCCTGCAATCATTGCATAGTCTCCGTTCACGAAAAGAGCGCGCTTTCAAAGGGCCACTCACCAGGCCCCATACCGAATTTTCGTTAGGCAGTGGAAGTTGTTGGGTGTCCAATAAGGTACATTTTGCCACAAAAATGTTTTTGAATCGGCTCATCACGAGCGGAGAAAACAGGTATTATGAAGCGGCGCGAAACGAGGGTGAGAGGAGGCGAGCTCGAAACCTTTGCCGCTCTTCCGCGTAGCCTTCGCAAGCCAAATCTCTTCTCCACCCTCTCCAGCATCCGACCATGGGGTGACGTGCGCATGACGTGTCCAAACATGCCCCACTCCCGAGCACGCGAGCAGCATTGCTTTGTTGACCAGCGTTATTTTGTGCTCTTTTGCCTGTTTCTGCGGGATGGTTTGGAAACGCTGGCTTAGACGCGGTAGAGTAGATGAGCACAATGAGTGCGCGAACACGTAGGAGCGTTCCACGGTGGTCGTCTGCTCAATGCGCTGACCGCGGGGACACGAACGCATGTGAAACGCTCGCACATTAGCCCCGCACCTAGTAGCATTTCACGGGAAAAAATGAAAGAAAAACGCGCACAATTTTTTACTGCGTCTTATTATTTATTTCAAGTTTTATTAATCTCTTAAAGCAACAAATACATAAACTACGCATCATGGGTTAAATAATTTTTGCCATGTCACGTGGTATACTGTTGACAACGTCAGAGCAGAGTCGTCTACGTAGAGGACCAACGTCATTACATTACCGTCTACGTAGGGCTATTCATACGCCCACGTCATGCCCTCCTTCTCTAGGCAGTGCGCCGGCAGAGGGGAGGGGGAGCAGCGTTCATCTTGAAATTTCACCCGTTTCCACGGCGCGTAGCGTTGCGAATTTCGGCAGATGTGATCATGAACGCCTCGTCTACGCCTTGCGCTTGTCAGCTAAAATTGTCAAACCTGGTGAGTGGCCCTTTAAGACACAACGAAGTAACAACTGAGACGCTTATTGGCGTTCGTCTGTACCTGTGAGTACATCTCGAGCGTTATTTTTGCGTGAGAATCGTGGGGCACATTTAGATTCTGTACATGACCTTCCAATTTTGCTATAACGTTCATTAATTCGCCTTTGCGAGGAAAGCTGTGACTTTTTTATTGGTATGTGTCATATGCTGATTGTTAATAAGTCGCGACTTCATTTGGTTACTTGGGTGAGAATGCGTGTTCTATTGTAGTTCACTAATTTTGTATAACCTCCCACACTGCACTATCTACTGCCCCTGTGGGTAAATAAATAAAATTAAAAAATCAGACACAGAGAGATACAGAAAACAGAAAGCGAGAGAGAGAAAAAAAAGGGGAAAACATGGGGCAGCAATGAACGAGCAGAGAGAGAGAAATGTTGAGAGAAAAGAGTAATGAAATAACCAAGCACGAAGAAAAGGAGAACATAAACAGGGTCGGCCACCCGGTTGCACCCTTCCATCAGGCTTAAGTTGTGGGAAGTTGACATAGCTCTTCTTTGTAAGCTGTCCTTATTCTGTGAAAGAGAATAACATTAGGAACATCTTAAATAGTCACAAAAATAGGGACAAGCCCAAAAACTAAAAGAATTCTTAGTTGTGAACAGTAAAAGAACAAATGGTGTTTTTTTTTTGCGTGAACAATTGCATCTTTACTTCCATTTCCTGATTTCGTTATACCAATGCCGCAGGCGTGCCAGGGAGCCGCGTGGATGGCAGCGTTCGTTGGAGGAGCCACCGTTCTGTTTTGCACCAAACAGTGGGGCGACGGGAACGACCTGCCGGTGCCCTGGATCTCAGCCGCCTACGCATCGTGCCATCGCCTCGTGTGGGCGTTGTGCATCGGATGGCTCGTGTTCGCCTGCATATCAGACCGTGGAGGTGTGCTCATCAACGCCTCCCCTGTCATTTGATGACGATGAGAATAAATGTCTAACTTAATCGCAAATTTGTCCCCAGTCGAGAGTAAAACTAGGCACCGTCCAGCTGTACCAACACTTTATGTAGGGGCTACTGTTAAGTCGTGCAGTCATACTAAAGCGTTACATACTCTGCGAAATTGTCGAACTCTGCCACGTTTACACGTCTGCCACCTCAACCATCGACAGTCAAAACATAGGAATGAAGCTGCACCCACATCTATCAATGTCCCGCCCAGTTGGTATTTGCAGCCACCTACCTATATTGCTTGTTTTCGTCACTTCAAGCACATTTCGCGCATCAGATACCTGATTTTTCTGTGAAAACACAGGCTGATATCGCTGGTCTAAAAAATTAATGTTCTGAAAAACTTTAACTGAGATTCTGAACTTGACAAAACACTAAAAGTTCGTCGTTTCTACCTAAAAATTACTTTTGACTAACCTTATATGCACAGAATTTACATTAGCACAGAAAATGTACTTGCGCTTGGTATTATTGTTCTTTTTTTGTTCGCATTACCTAAAATCAGTTCTTCCTATATAGCTCTCTGCTCCGATCATTCTTTGTTTTCGTCGTCTCAACGTTCAGTATTAGCGCATGCTGACAGCAATACTTTTGCCTGCTATGAGAAGTGAACGACGGTGTATTATTCTGTCGCAGGGTTAATTAACAGCGTGCTGTCCAGTCCACTGCTGGTTCCCCTGAGCAGGCTGTCGTACGCAGTGTATGTGCTGCACGTGCCCATCGTCTGGTTCCGCCTCTGGACAATCCGAGAGCGCATTCTCATCTGGTTCTTGCCTATGGTGAGCACTTGTTGGAGCCTGCACAAGAATTGAGCGAGCGTTCAATGGGTATTTTAGGTCCGAAACCTTTTAGTGCTGCGAGGTCCCCCTTGCAACATTAAATATGCAGAAAGACACAAACTCACCTAAAAGCTTCTTTTTGTCGAATACCGATTAAACAAAGAAGTATTAACCCCCTTTTTTATTAAAATAGATTTAAAGGGAGACGCGAAGTGCGCTTTTCGGTTTCCTTTAAAATAAAAAGCATTTTTTTCCTTTTAGGTTACAAAGTAGGGGTTGGTGTTTCTTTCTTTACTTCACAATTCATCTATAGTATCCACCACTAGAGCGCATAAAAGTTGAAGTATGCCTGCGTTTGTCTTACGCAGTTCTACAATGCCATGGGCAGCCTCGTTCTCTCCTTCTTCGTGGCCCTTGGAGCATCTATCTTCATTGAGAGGCCCCTCATGGCCGCCAAAGACGAGATCGTGAGTCGCATCACGAGACCACGAAACCACAAGCCTTCGCCGCATCCAGACGGACCTAGCAACAAGCGCGGCGGCAGGAGCGACGTCTTGAGCGAGACGAGATTGCGAAGCCTGTCACTTTCGAGTATAGCCAGCAAGCTCTCATATGCCAGAATATTCGCCAGGCAAACATCAAATACTGCGACGACACCTGGCTTTCAGAGCGAGTCGTGTACGGTCCATCTCTGATCCCCGCAAAAGCAGCTTACCGCAACGTGGCAGCTGCCGCGGCCCAAGAACATGTACTTGATAAGTGGAAAGTAGACCGGGTATTGTGCTAACAGTGCCTTTTGTTTTCAGAGCAGCTGCGTATAGTAGAGGTAGTTAAACTTTTCTTTGGGTGCGTGGCACTTTTGTCAGGGCACGGAAGCTCCCTGTACTTCGCATGTATTCCCTCTCAGCAGTGGCAGCGCCGCTTCTACCACTGGTGGTCGCCGGGCATCCTCTTGGAAATAAATCACGAACAAAAAATTTCTTTCATAACTTCACTGGTTAGGTCTCCAAATTGAGGGAAAGGACGAAAAATTCAGAGGAGGAGGGTTCCCACGGAAGCCCTCTTTTCCCTACTCCGCATGTAAGCGGCTTCCAGGTCCGCTGGCCGCTTGGGCAACGCAGCCATAAGAATGTGCTGATACTTTTTTACTTGTGTTTGTGTTTTTGAAGAGGCGGGAATCCAGCTGACTGATTTTTCGGTAAACAAAACTCGATCAACCCAAACGAAATACACTTTTTATTGCATCATCATCATCATCATCACTATTATCATCAACATCATCAGCCTGACTACGACCACTGCAGGCCAAACGCATCTCCCATGATCCGCCAGTCAATCCAGTCTTCTGCTTTTCATTGTCACGTTATACCTGCAAACTTTTTAGTCTCATCGGCCCCCCTAACTTTTTGTCTCCCCTTCGTGCGTTCACCCTCTCTGGGAATCCAGTCAGTTAGCCTTTGTGACCAGCGGTTATCCTGCCTACGTGCTAAGTGCCCGGCCCATATCTATTTTTTCTTCTTGATTTCAACTATGATACACCTAACCGCGATTTGTTCCCTGACCCACTCTGCCCTATTCTTATCTCTTAACGTTACACCTATCATTTCTCTTTCCATCGCCCGCTGTGTCGTCCTCAACTTAAGCTGAACCCTCTTTTAAGTTTTCAGGTTTCTGCCCCGTACGTTAGTTCTGGCAACATGCAGCTGTTATATAGACAAGAGCACGCCTATTTCGAACCCAGGCGCCTTGGGCGGTTTACCCTCGCTCCCAGAGACGGCATATTTTTGTTTGCAACTGCCAAGACGCGCCTCACATGCATGACTTGCAGTGGCTCTGGGAGTTTAAAATGCGAAAAAGCGCCTGTTCATGCTCCGCCCGCTTACAAAACGCCATCTGGTTACCACTGAGCTGTCATCTGATGCGACAACAACAAGCGCAAGAAGAAGAGATTGCTGAGCACTGCCTGTAAGTTCACAGCACATCGCGGGATTCGTGCCGGTGCGGTGTTTTGCGATTGCACAGATTTCTTTCCACAATAAAAAACGCCAAGCTCTGCCCCCTTAGGATATAATCGCAATCAGCAGGAAAAACTACGAGCCAAGTGAAGTGTATATGAAAGTATACTAATTGCGTTTATTCAAACGCGACTCCAGCTGTTTCACTGAACAGCAGCGATTTGCGTGCAGTATGCCTGTATGCCTGTAGTATGAGGCATAAAACTATAGCCGTACTTTTTCGCAGGCCGCATGTCAATAATAGGAGATACGTAATACGACTCACGCGTGGATGCACTCACCGCGCATGTTTAGTACAACTGCAATGACCTACTATCGCGATGCGTGAACGGCGCGAAAAGCATGACTTTTGACTCGGTCGAACTGCGGCATGCCTTGACTGTCACTAGGCGAATATACGCGTGCTTTCGGCCGGCGTCACTGTATAATTTTAATATCTTGTTCTGGCTGGCACTTTTGCAGCGCGTGTGTGTTCCGAGTGCCCAGCAGGACTGATAATTGATACACATGCGGTGCATGAGCATAAGTTGGAACAAGATTATAGTGCTACGTTGGTGCCGCATTAAATTACAAATTCTGCCTTGTCACAGCCAAGGCACGCCGCTGTTCGACTAAGTCGAAAGCAACGCTTTCCGCTGTTAGCGTTTCTCTAAATCGCAACAGTACGTACCTGATGAACCATCTTCCGTTGTCTGCAATGCACGTGCTGCAGACATTCCGGACTATCGGGGAAGGTCTCCTCGACGTTTCACACGAAATCAGCATCACATTCTAGCACAGGAATAGCACGAAACATGCTTACAACCAGACTTAAGTTGCGAAGTTTCGCGTTTGATTTGCAGAGCGTCTGCTCGCCTGGCAGTTGAGAGTGTTGCTTCGTCGCGCTTGCAACACACGGTGCCTCGCGCTTTTCAATATGGCAGCTAGCACTGAGCTCACTATGTTCTAGTGTATACCTTCCTCTTCGTGGTTAGTGGCAGATTACCATTCATGATTTCAGAACGCTAGCCAATTGTTATCCACCCCAATATAATTAAATGCGAAGCATTTCTTAGCGAACTTCGGCGACTTTGAGCGTATCTATCTATCTAGCCGCCTACGACTTTAGCACTCATGGCCGTTTGCATATTGGCATCGGTACCAAACTTGGTATGGCAAAACATGACTGTATGACAAGCATATATTACTAGTCGTAACATGAAAGTCACGGCATTTGTGTCGTGAATGTCATGATTTACATTTCAAGGCCTTGCTGCTCTTGCGATGGTCTCGTTCACTTTACATGTTTCAAAACCGGTATAGTATGACATGATTGCATGGCGAACACAAGTGATATACCCTAACGCAGAAATTATGACATGCATGTCATGTAAGTCATGAGTCATGACTACACGCCACGCTCATGATGCGCTCGCAGCCGTCTTGCTAGCTTCACATATACCAAATTCGGCGTTACGTGATGCGTATGGATGACGAACGTATGTGACTGGTGCGAACATGATAATCATGAGATGCGTGTCATGTGACATTATGACTGCAAGCCATAATCATAATTCCCTCGCAGCTGTTTCGCAAGCTTCACATACACCAAATTTCGTATTAAGGGACGTGAATGGATGACAAAGGGATGCTACTAGTGCAAGCATAATAATCATGTGATGCGTGTCATCTAACAACATGACTACATGCTACGCTCATGATGCACTCGCGGTCGTCTTGCTAGATTCACATGTACCAAATTCAGTATTACGTGACGCGAACGGACGATTTATGTAATAACATGTCAGAACATGATAATCACGACATGCGTCATGTAATAACATGACTACAGGCCGCACTCATGATGTGCTCGGGGCCGTTTCGCTAGATTCATATATGCCAAATTTGGTATTACGTCACGTGAATGGATGACGTAGGTATGTTACTGGTGCAAAAATAATAATTATGATATGCGTGTCATCTAAGAGAATTACTACATGCCACACTCAAGGCACCAATACACTTAGACGTGACCCGGTGCGCGTGTGCTCCAGCGTTCGTTTCGTTGCGTCGTGCCGGTGATGCTGCGCCAGGCGCCAATCTGCCTGGCATATAGTCGCAGGCACGCGTCGCACTGCGTTGCTTTGACGCATGCGCGTTCGAGCACACCCGGCGTCTCTTCGTCGCGAAACTAGGCAGACCGGTTGCCGCTGGGCTGCACCGCCAGATGCTGGCCGCGTCTGGTGGTGCAGCCCAGCGTCTCCCATCCATCCATCCATTCATCCATGCATCGCGTCTGGCGTCAGACTGTTGAGTGTTCGCGTTTTGCTAGCGTAGCGTCGCTGCGCCCAGCGTGCGCTCGTACGTTGCGTCGCAGTATATTGGGCACTTCATGATCCTCTACCCGCCGTTTCGCTAGCTTCACATATTCCAAGTTTAGGTATTACGTGACGCGAATGGACGACGAAGGTATTTTACTGGTGCAAACATGATAATCATGAGATGCGTGTCATATAACAACATGACCACATGCCACGCTCATGACGCGCTCGTGGTCGTTTTTCTAGCTTTAGCATATAGCAAATTGGTATTGCATGACGTCAATACACGGCGAAGTTACACGACACGTCCTGAACATGATAATCATGATATACGTGTCATATAAAACATGACTACATGCTACGCTCATAGTACGCTCGCGGCCGTTACGCTAGCTCCACATATACCAAGTTTGGTATCAGGTGACGTGAATAGATGATAAAGGCAAATGACATGTCCAAACATAATGAATATGACATGGAAGTTATGTACGGCCTAATTTACCTCCGCCTCGTAACGTTGTTCTGATTTTAAACGGGCATATAAACCTTCTCTATTCGTGCTTCGCATATCATCGATTTCTACTGTACGTGAGATCTGCCAATTTTTCTTCTAGTTATTTCACCCTGATGATTCGACTCCGCGACTACTACCTGCCATAAGTAGACGCACTCTTTTACAACTTCTAGCGTCTCTTCACCTATCGCAAAGTGGTGTTTCTTTCCGAGAGTGTTGCACTATACTCTAGTTTGTGAATATTAATTTTCAAACCGGCTAACTCATAACAAGTATGCGGCCTCTGCTGACAACCTTCGTGCGCGCTGGGAAGCCGCAATGCTCAGCTCCGTCCTCGAAGACCAAATGTGGGCCGTCCAGCGGGCCGAGGAAGCCACCAGGATTCAAGGACTTCCTGGCCGTAACCTAGGCGGGGGCAATCGCCCACCCCATCTAATCGCCGAACTCTGAATAAAGTTCTTTCTTCCTCCTCCGACTTTTCTGCTTATCGGGTTCAGTTCTGTAATCATGAGCTGTAATTCATTCCCTGGGTTACTCATCAAGACAATGTCACCAGCGAGTCGCAGGTTACTAAGATACTCTCCATTAACTTTTATCCCTTACTCTTCCCAATCTAGTGTCCTGAAAACCTCTTGTAATTAGGCGGTGAGTAGCATTAGAGAAACCGCGTTTCCTTGCCTTTTAGCCTTCTTAATTGGGATTATGTCGCTTTTTTTATGGAGAACCAAGGTGACTGCGGATCCACTGCAGATTTCTTCCACTATGTTTAGGTAGGATTCTTCGATGCCCTAATTCCGTAGCGCCTCCATTACTGCTGGTGTCTCGACTGAGTCAAACGCTTTCTCGTAATCTATTAAAGCTGTCTCGACTGAGTCAAACGCTTTCTCGTAATCTATTAAAGCTATGTATAGAGATTGTTCGGGTTTCGTGCATTACTCTATTACCTGATTGGTAGCATGAATGTGGTATAATGTGGAGTAGCCTGTTCAAAATTCTGACTGGTACTTGGGTAGATTGAACTCTGATATT